AAAAAAATGCAAATTCTGACCTATTATAAAAAAATTTGTCAAAACCGACCTAGTTTCCTGGCTGAAACTGGGTCGGTTTTGACAAAATATGTTCCGAAACTTCACGGGACTTCAAGTCCTGTGAAGTTTTGTAATGTACAAAAAACTTCACGGGACTTCAAGTCCCGTGAAGTTTCAGAAGATTTTTCTTCAAAACCGACCCGGTTTCAGCCCGACGACTGAAACTGGATCGGTTTTCTCAAATATTTTGTGAATTTTTCCCAAAATATTTGAATGGGCATTTTTCCAATTATTTTCTCAAATAGATGGCGTTGTTCAAAATTGTCAACAAAAATAATAATGAATTTGAAAACCCAATATGGTATACTCGGTAAAATATTACCAGACGGGTAAACAACGTTTTACGATTATAGAGGAGCATAAAAGCAGTTGCTACGATAAATTAGGCATTATAGCTGCCAACATGTTAATTGCTATATATAAGGGTAGTGCTACAGGACAATCTGAACCCCAACCCCAACCACATAACTCTCTCTCTCTCTCTTACGAGTGCAATGGGGCCCACCTCAGTTTTTAAAAAAAAGTCAAGTGGAGCCCCATTGTACTGTAAAGAGAGAGAGAAGTTCGGGGGTGGTGGTGAGTCGGGTGGGTTGGATGTTGCCTCTGAGCCTTTTCCGTACACTAATTGTGTTGTGAACGAGAGGTGTTGTGTGGTCGGTGGTCTGATTACCCCTGATTGTCTCTACCAAAACTGACAGCAAGGGCTCGTAGTGTTTGGCAGCGGAATCAGGGCCAAACGCAAGCCCGAATAACTAACGAGGCCCTAAGGAAGGTTGGACACCAGAAACGAAGCGTTGCAACGGGATACATTGTTTGGGAACTCGTGAACTAGAACCATAATTCTAGCACAGTGATTAGTAAGTGAAAATGTGTGAACAGGGAGAAACTTATGTTACCCCATTACAGTTGAATCCCCCTGCCTGTACCGTTGTTACCAACCGCAAGCGAACTGCTGACCATTGAACACTGGCCCGAGGTGAGATACGTGACATGTTTTCTCGCCAATTGATGTTGAATTAATTTAGGTAGGTAGCCGAGCTTACAGGATTCTGGCAGGGCGGCCACTTGTGGAATTTGACTAAGGCGCCCACAAAAATATACCGAGTATTGAGGAGAATATCGTATCCGTATCCGTTAGGATGCGGGTATATGCGTTGTATAAAATCGTATATTTGATGCATATCGGAACTGATCATGGTTATGTAGTGAAATACTCGCATCCGTATCTAAATATCGAATACATTGTTGGTACATATAGTTGCCACAATTTTATCCTTGATCAATGGATTGAGGTGGCTAATTTTTATGATCATAAGATTTAGGTAATTTTGGATGATCAATGAACTCTTCTTGTATATATGAGCCTATATCTTTTTTTTCAAATCATCTAGTTTTATCATATACATTTTTAGATCCACATGTTTATGGCCGCTTTATATGATCTGGCGATGCACATCCGCTAACATGTATCTAGTATTTGTGGATATAGAGTATGAGTTTTCTTACCGGCAGTAATCTTCTATCCGCTATGGCGTATTTCTAGATTGGTAGTACGATACAGGAATATGATAAGCTATCAGAAGCTGAGCCGTATCTGAACTGCGTGCCACCCTAAATGGTTTACTCCGTCCCTCCCTCCAAGAATTCTTTTCTTATTGAATGCCATATGTCTATCGTAATTTTAAAGGGTTAATTGCAGATAGATCCCCAATACTACACATCAATTAGCGAATGCGAGTCCTCCGGTGCGTTCTATAGAATATTTTTCACTCTTTTTCCCTAAAGAGGTTTATTTATCACAACATAATTTCCTTTTTCTTTGAAGGTAAAAGAGTCGCAACAAATCATTCAGGAAGTCTATCTACAACAATAGAACTACAACGGGTCTATCCGTAATTGGCCGATAGTACAGATGATCTAACCACAGAACCATTCTTAGTGTGGTCTCTCAAATCATTGATGCTATTTGGTCCCGCATTTCATGTATGTTCCTTAAGACTAGTTCCCATGCATGATAAAATTAAAACCCAATTTATATCTTACCTCCAACAACAATCATCTTCTTCCTCAAACTCATATTAACTCCCAACAGCTCTCTCCTCTCATGATAGCAATAACATTAGAAAATACTGTTGGATTTTTTGGACAAAACGCTTTCCAAAATGAGTTTTCAAGCTATATATATATATATATATATATATATATATATATATATATAAATCAACTACAAGTATTTTTCATAAATGCTTAGTAGCTTAGCGGAAAGTTAATGTTTTGGTGTTTCAAAAGGTCCCTTGTTTGAGGCTTGCCAACAGTAAACCGAGAAGTATTTTATTTGAATTAATCTCTCATAAGTTCTAGTGGGTCGTGGGCTAATGGGCCGGGGATCGGGGCTAATCGGGCTGAGGTGCTAAGTGGCGCTTTGTTAGGCGCACTTTGCACTTCGCACGGAGGCATCAGGGTGAGGTGGCGCCACGAAGGTTGCCTCGCAGGCTGCTTCGCAGCATGCGGACAATCTACGCATTCACACGAGGGTGTGACCCTAGCGTTCTCAAAGTCAGACGAGGTTGCACTTGTTCGACAGGGTTCGTCCGATTCACAAGACCAGACGAGGTTCGCTCGTTCATACGAGGTTCGCCTGTCTGACGATGTTTGCTCGTTCGACGAGGTTCGTCTGTCATACGAGGTTCGCCTATCTGACGATGTTCGCTCGTTCGACGAGGTTCATTTGTCATATGAGGTTTGCTTATTTGACGAGGTTCGTTAGTCAAACGAGGTTCGTCTGATTTGCTGAGATGTGACCCTCGCGTTGCGTAGCAAAGCGTCCATTGATTGCCTCATATTCAGGAGTTACTGCATGCAGTAGTTACAACAGCATTTAGAGTAATTTAATATATTGATGTTACAATCTTAATTGTCGTTAAGAATTGTAATAGTCACATTAATTGCGTGCGACTCTTGAGCTGGCCTTAGAAGCCTATAAATAGTGCCATTGGGTAGCACTTGGTTGTTGCTAAAAACAGTCTCGCGAGCGTGGAATACGAACGTCGTTACATGCACGCGAGCTTGGAAAACGAACATCAGATCAAGGCGATCTTGACGTTGTTGTGTTGTAGTGCTGCTGCTGTAGAATCTGTGCCCGCATAAATCCTGAAACCGAAAGGTTTTGAACCAAAAGGTTCTGAGATCGAGGAGATCTTTTGCCTTGACCGAAAAGTCTTATAGATCGAGGAGATCTTGACAGTACTGGGTTAGTACACACCAGAGTACTATGCTGCTATTCCTGTAAGTGGGCCCCTTTAAAAAATAAAAAATAAAGAAAAATGAAGAGAGAGAGAGAGTAACGTGGGGTTTCCCCTCTCCCTCTCTCTTGCCTCCACTCTCTCTCCCTCTCCCCCCACACTCTCTCCCTCTCCCCTCCCTTTCTTTTTTTCCCCCACTCTCTCTCCCCCCTCCCCTTCTCTCTCTCTCTCCCCCCTCTCCCCTCCCTTTCTTTTTTTTTGGTCAATGAATGAAAATTTTATTCATCACCAAATGTTGAAATGAATGCGCACATCCAGTTACAAGAAAAACAAGAGACTGGTTATATAAACCCAGTCAACAATTCTTTACAAACTCTCAATGAACTCTTTCATATGATGTGGTATATTTTCATTCAAAATCTTTGTGTATATACACAGCTTCACCGCACAGAATAGCTGATCAGGACCATGAGCTTTCTGCTAAAAAAGTCTTTGATTTCTCTCTTGCCATATCAGATAAACAGAAACTGACAGAGCAATTCTCTTCAATTTCTTTTTGAAGCCTTTTCCCCTCAAATTCCTATTGTACCAATTGAAAATCTGGTTCCAACTACATGACTGCAAGTTGAACTTCAACCATTCCATTACTTTTCTCCAAACATACACGGAATATTGACAATCAAAGAAGATATGCTGACAGGTTTCTGCTTGGCTATCTCTTGGGTACAATATACACTGATTTGTACTTAACACTCTCATTTTGCACAGTCTCTCTTGTGTGAGTAACCTGGAGAGAGAAGCTAACCACAAGATGAATCAATGTTTGGGGCAATGCCACCCCCCATATAGTCTCTGAACCTTCAAACAAAACAGCTTGCTGCTGAAAAAGGACCCTGTAAATCAATGATATGCTGATATTATTGTTTACACAGCAACTGTTAATTGCATTCAGAAGATTATCAACACTTCCCATCTTATCCCTCATCATGTTTCTAGCTTTTAGGAGCTGTTTCCACATCCATGAGTCACAATTTTTAGCCTGAATCTGCCAGATATTTGTTTGCCTCAGATATGTGCCGTGCACCCACTTAATCCAAAGAATATCTTTTTTAAGGTGTATCATCCAAAGTAATTTTGCTGCTGTTGCATAATTCCAGAATTTAGCTGAGAATAAACCCAAGCCACCATGCTTTATGTCTTGACAAACAGAGCTCCAAGATACCAAGTGGATCTTGTGACCCCAAAGGAAGCTAGAACACATGCTATCCATCCTTTCAAGCACCTTAACAGGGAGAATAAAATTACTTGTCCAGTAAATTTGAATACCCAAAATGACTGATTTTATCATTTGCAATCTCCCAGCATAGGACAAAGTCCTAGTGTTTTGCCAGTTTTGAAACTTATCTGATATCTTGTTGATGAGAGGAGAGCAATCAAGCCACGAAAGCCTTTTTGAAATAAGAGGCATCCCCAGATATTTTATAGGCAATATCCCCTCTGAAAAATTTGGGCAATCACAGATCTGGTTCTTCAGACTATCTTCAATCCCACTCATAAAAATTGAACACTTAGAGGGATTAGGATTCAAACCAGAGACCTGACTAAACTCCATTAGGCAGTCCCTCAATCTTGATATTGAGTACATATCTGCTTTGCTAAACAAGAGGAGATCATCCACAAAGATTAAATGTGACAGTTTCAATCTTGAACACTTGGGGTGAAATTTAAACAATCTATCATTCTAATGTTAGCTTTCTGTTTGAAATAAGAAGATTCACAATCAATCAATCTGTCATATTTTTTGATGCATTCTTTTTCCCTTGCAATCAAATCTGAGTTGAAAAGATCATCATTTAATTGCCTTTGAATATCTGATAAATATTCCTTTGCTCTACATACTTGTTCACTTATATTCATAAAGTGATTTTTATTTAGCTCTTTGAGGGCATGTTTAAGCTTTTTGAGCTTAGTATGAGACCTGTACATATTATAGCCTTCACTGCTTTGATCCCATATAGAAATCACTGTTGAGATAAAATCTGGATGCTTGACCCACATATTGAAGAACTTGAATGGCCTTTTACCCTCAGAAATATCATCTTCAATAGTTATTAAAGCCGGAGAGTGGTCAGAGCAATTTGGAATGAGATAGTCCACCTGACTTGAGGTGTATGAATGGATCCAATTCTCATTCACCAAGCACCTATCCAGTCTAGACCAGATTCTGCTATCAGCCTCTTGTTTGTTACACCAAGTATAATAACAGCCAGTAGATCTTAAATGCAATAGCTGACCAGTGTTAATGAAGCTTTGAAAATCCTCTATGTCAGTTTCTGTAACTGGCACCCCTCCAATTTTCTCCTCACAACTTGCAATAGCATTGAAATCTCCACCAGTAATCCATGGACTATTAACACTTTGCTTTAAAGTAAGTAAATCCCTCCATAGATTTTTCCTGCAAGTCATATGGTTTGAAGCATATACTATAGTGCATAGACTGGTAAATCTCCCCTCCCTTTCTCTCACTCCATTAATATATTCTTGTACTCTTTCTTATAAACCCATCAATTTCCAAACCCTATCTCGAGAAACCTCTACAATCAAATTGAACATTGACAAACACAATAAACCAAAAAAGCCATAAAATGAGTATCTGAGGATTTCCGGCGAATGAGAGAGAGATTATGGGTGGTTAATTACAAAGCCTCATTTAACTAACATTTTATCAAAAGTAACAAATTTTAATAATTTTTATGAATTCATGCTATACTTACGGTACAACACGCTATACTTACATGATAATGTGATATACTTACAAAATAACGTGTTATACTTACAGGATAACATGATGTGCTATACTTACAAGATAACGTGCTATACTTATAAAATAACATGCTATACTTACAGAGTTTCATGCTATACTTACAAGGTAACGTGCTATACTTACAGGATAACGCGCTATACTTACAGGATAACGTACTATACTTACAAGTAACGTATTTCATGCTATACTTACAGGTTATCATTCTATACTAAAATCAAATTTAACTAAATTTTTATCAATCATAACAAATTTAACTTATTTTTATCAATTCATAACAAATTTTAATAATTTTTATGAATTCATGCTATACTTACGGTACAACACGCTATACTTACATGATAATGTGATATACTTACAAAATAACGTGTTATACTTACAGGATAACATGATGTGCTATACTTACAAGATAACGTGCTATACTTATAAAATAACATGCTATACTTACAGAGTTTCATGCTATACTTACAAGGTAACGTGCTATACTTACAGGATAACGCGCTATACTTACAGGATAACGTACTATACTTACAAGTAACGTATTTCATGCTATACTTACAGGTTATCATTCTATACTAAAATCAAATTTAACTAAAATTTCATCAATTATAACAAATTTAACTATTCTTTATGAATTCATGAATAATAATGAGAAAATTAGTGTGAAATAATCATGTGAAATAATAATGTGAAATTAATGGGTGGTTAATTACAAAACCTCATTTAACTAACATTTTATCAAAAGTAACAAATTTTAATAATTTTTATTATTTCATGCTATACTTACAGGTTATCATTCTATACTAAAATCAAATTTAACTAAAATTTCATCAATTATAACAAATTTAACTAATTTTTATGAATTCATGAATTATAATGAGAAAATTAGTGTGAAATAATCATGTGAAATAATAATGTGAAATTAATGGGTGGTTAATTACAAAACCTCATTTAACTAACATTTTATCAAAAGTAACAAATTTTAATAATTTTTATGAATTCATGCTATACTTACAATATAACATGCTATACTCAAGTAATGTATTTCATGCTATACTTACAGGTTATCATTCTATACTAAAATCAAATTTAACTAAAATTTCATCAATTATAACAAATTTAACTAATTTTTATGAATTCATGAATTATAATGAGAAAATTAGTGTGAAATAATCATGTGAAATAATAATGTGAAATTAATGGGTGGTTAATTACAAAACCTCATTTAACTAACATTTTATCAAAAGTAACAAATTTTAATAATTTTTATGAATTCATGCTATACTTACAATATAACATGCTATACTCAAGTAATGTATTTCATGCTATACTTACAGGTTATCATTCTATACTAAAATCAAATTTAACTAAAATTTCATCAATTATAACAAATTTAACTAATTTTTATGAATTCATGAATTATAATGAGAAAATTAGTGTGAAATAATCATGTGAAATAATAATGTGAAATTAATGAGTGGTTAATTACAAAACCTCATTTAACTAACATTTTATCAAAAGTAACAAAATTTAATATTTTTTATGAATTCATGCTATACTTACAGGATAACGTGCCATACTTAGAGATTTTCATGCTATACTTATAAGATAACGTGTTATACTAACAAGATAACGTGCTATACTTACAGGTTTCATGAGCTTTCAGCTTACAAGACAAAAACAAAAGCCTTGGAATTAAAATATTTCAACCATCATCAACCAGCACATAATAGACTTAATATACAAGTTCAATGAACATTACACTTATGGAAAATATACCTTCAGCAACTGACTTTCTATTTTGGGAGTTTCTCGAACAAGCCGTTAGCATCCTTCTTACCACTCTGAAATGTTATTTCATCTTCTCAGTTAGTTCCCAGACAAAACCAAAGGCCTTAAGCCTACATTTCTAGCAGCAGTGACAGCGAGATTTCAGAAAAAGAGTAGAATCAAGGTTAAGCTTTTATTCACTTCATACTCAAACTTCAACTAGAGGCCTAACTGCATTCAGAAAGAGGCAATGAACGGGGAAAAAAAGAAAAAAAATGACATTTTTATCTCTCGGGTGTTGCTTCATTCCATCCTTAATTAGCGCCTGTAACATTTGCATCAAGAATAAAAATCATCCAACCATAGAAAGAAACCAAAAATAAGAAAAGGGCAGGGCAAAAGATCTTACTGTAGGTAACTTGGGGGAGCTTGCAGGTGGCAGGAAGACGCTAGATGATGTCAATATTAATAAGTATTTTATTTCTTTTCTAATTTTCAGGAGGATATAAGAAGTGGAAAAGGTAGTGCACTTCAACTGAGTCTGGGTTTCCTCTTATATTTGACAAAATATAGATTAATAAAATTAAGAGAGAGAGAGAGAGAGAGTGTCGGTTTCTCTCTATCTTTGATAAATATTACATTAATTAAAAATTACCAGAATATATTAGGACTTGTTTGAAATTAAAGTCACAGGTACAATTGTGAGAAGTTGTAGGGGGAATTTAAGCAAATACCTTTTTGTTAGGCGCATGCAACAAAAAATACTATCATAACCGGACCATTATATCTGTTATAAATACCGACAAGGCGCGAATTCTTTTCCTCCTGTCCTTGCATCCAAACCCTAGAAGCTTTGGAGGTTTTGGCCATGGCAAGAGAAAAGAGAGAAAGTCACGTCTACAGGCAAGACGAAAGCACTCCCTCGACGCCAACCGCGCTAATTGGCGGCGGCGTTGAGTAAGGGCAATCGCTCCGCCGGCACACGTTCAGCCGTCTAAAGATGTTATAAAGAATCGACCGATATGAAGATCGAAATAGGTGAGGATATTGGAGCGAGGATTTAGAGGTTCGAAGGAGCCTTCTGTGCTCGGATCCGAGCCTGAGTCGGGCTCTCGTGTCGCATTCGTCGTTGAGATGAACTCTGATGGATTTTCGTTTTTATTTACTTTGTTCGTGCTCCTTAACATTTTATTGTCGCAATTTTTCAGGTAAATGGTCGATAATCCTATAGTTTCTAGTGAAAGCGGAAGATGGGAGGTTTATCTGCACTCTATTCTTCTCAAAATTTGATTTATAGGTTAAGTATAGTTGGATTGAAGGGAGATTGTCTATCAAGTTTCCCTGAAGGTTATAAGTCGCCTTAAATTAGGCGAAATTTTAAGTAGAACTCTATTATGAATTGCACTATATAACTCCGTGGCCTTTAAAAAGATTCTGAGTCGGCGGTTTTGAGTTGGGATAAATTGGGTCAAGTAGGAAAATTATTCCAATTGGTAAATCAATATTTATCTGTTGAGGATATGTATCTTTGTTAGTATGGCTGGTAAGTGGGATAATAAGACATTTAAGATATGTTTTGATTTTGAATAATTATTATGGGATAATTGATGATGCGATTTACCTTATTATGTATAATTTTATCTATTTTAGTTAACTTCTTATTTAATATTCAAACATTATCCAATTGGGTTTTAGAGATATCATATTAAATTTTGTAATATAATCATTTATTTTCTTTAAATCTACTGTATGTTAATTATAATTACTAATTAAGTAATATAATTAATTATTATATATCGTGTACACTTATATATTTATTTGATATTTTAGCTGTTATACAATATAATAATTAATATATATAAGAGCAATATTTTAATTATAATAATTTTTAAGAATATTAATCATTATAAAATACATTATATTTTGTATTTTATATACAAAAATGTATAATATGTTGTAACTATTGAAAATATATAATTATATTATTTATATAATTATGTATTATTATTCTTACAGATGTGATATATAAGATGCTACGTTATATAAATAATGATTTATAATCATAAATGAACCAACATTTATTTAATAATTATTGCTTTAATTAATATGTTGATATGTGATTTTAATATATGTGATCGGATATAAATGCTAAGTATACATAATTGATATAATCTGATATGTGATAAACAATATTTAATCAAATATATTGTTATTTAATTCGCAATTTGTATACTTTTTGTATCTAGATATTTATTATACTTATAATTAAAATATTATATATTGTGAAAGAACTAATCATAAGTTATTAGTCTTTTTATGGATAACTCTATAACAATAATTTTATTATATTTTAAAGTAGCTTATCATGTCCTATTTTATGATTTTCTTGATATAGTAATTTTGGGGTTCGTGAATACTGTTTGTATCTGTATAGTATTATATCATAATATTTTATTAATATAGATTTGTGATAATTCTATGTATGATTATATATTAATAGTATGCAGTATACTATAATAACTGATATGATATATAAACAATTATTTAATATATATATCTTTTAATATTATAGTAACAGAGTCCATTGGTGTTAAATTTACCGATTAAAATATTATAATATTTTTATATTATAGTATTTATACAAATATAATAATATTTAAATATCTGTGTTCGTAATTCTAACTATATAGCTATAATATTTATAATATGCATAGATTAAAATAATAATATTCTATAGACAAACATCTAAAATGTATTTAATTATTGTAGTACATACTAAGTTCTATTTGAGTTCAATATAATATAATGTAAAAATTTCAACCTTTCCATAAAAGAAAATCAAGCGTCTATACTATTCTAACGCATGATTTAGTTT